ATGGCTTACTGAACAATGGTGATATGGGGATATGTGTTTTACTGTGTTTATGTCAGACATGATCAGAAGTATAGCCTTGTATTGTGATTCTGGGTTACAGAAGTGCCAGCAGTCAGACTGTGGGAAGTGTCCTGCCTGTCAGGACATGGTCAAATTTGGTGGTACCGGGAAGTCCAAACAGGCCTGCTTGGAACGAAGGTACGTTGTATACGCCTGGTAACATTTGACGGAGGTATTATGGTATAGTGTCTACATCCGCCTGGTTAACATTTTGGTGCAAGTTTTTTCAGTGGTCTACTGTTCAGTCAGATCATGTGTTATTGTCCTAATTTTTGGCATGGATGTTCATGTGGGGTCTAACAAGGACAGTATGGATTTAATTTGGTAAAAATAATTTCTATTTAATATCACAAGTTGTCGTTACAATTGAACCGTACCTGTGGTCTAATTAACCAATTGTCATTTTATAATTGCATTGTTGTTTTTATCAGTATTGTAAAATTTGAAAGGTGTTACACGACCTAACTCTACCTGTTGATACAGGTTTTAAAGAAACAACACAGACACAAATAAATGTTACAATTGTTGTTGATGTTACTACCCACTGGCATAATCTTCCTCCTCATCGTTACAATTGCTGTTGATGTTACTACCCACTGGCATAATCTTCCTCCTCATCGTTACAATTGTTGCATTTCAGATGTCCAAACATGGCCGTTAAAGATGCAGAAGATGATGACTTGGGAGAGGAAGATGATGATGATAATAAACTCAAAACGGTGTGTAAAGAGATACAGGACTATGTTTGTTATAGCTGCTCTCTATAATGTATCCACCCCTATGACGGGTGTTTAAGTAAATTGATACATGGCACCACAACAGTTTTAGAAATAGTGCAGTTGGCATGATAACTGGTCAGGTTGGTGTTGGCATGGCAAATGGTCAGGCTGGTATGTTGTGATTGTACACAGAAATCTTTGCCTTATGTTGCATTTTGTGTTTTTAAATGAAGAATTTCAAATCTTAGATTTTCTTTTATTCAGGAGGAAGTGATGACACCAGATAAAAAGCACAGACTGTCAGTCAATACCAAGGTGAGTAACATTTGTGTGATGACCATCTCAAGCAACTTAACATTTTCATTATCATGTAGATTCTTATATAACTGCTGTATATGGATTATTTTTACACTGGCTATTTTTTCTCATTATCTATAGATTTGTAATATATATATTCATTGTTTTAATGTACTGTTTATGGTGAGAATATGTCTTTTTCATCAATTTTATTTTTAGACAAAACTGAAGTGGATTGGTGAGCCAATCAAGAAAGATGGGAAGAACTACTTCAGGCGTGTCAGCATTAACGGTCAAGAGGTGGGTAGTCACTTGTGTCAGCATTAACAGTCAAGAGGTGGGTGGTCACTTGTGTCAGCATTAACGGCCAAGAGGTGGGTAGTCATTTGTGTCAGCATTAACGGTCAAGAGGTGGGAAGTCACTTGTGTCAGCATTAACGGTCAAGAGGTGGGTGGTCACTTGTGTCAGCATTAACAGTCAAGAGATAGGTAGTCACTTGTGTCAGCATTAACGGTCAAGAGGTGGGTGGTCACTTGTGTCAGCATTAACAGTCAAGAGGTGGGTAGTCACTTGTGTCAGCATTAACGGCCAAGAGGTGGGAATTCACTTGTGTCAGCATTAACGGTCAAGAGGTGGGTAGTCACTTGTGTCAGCATTAACAGTCAAGAGGTGGGTGGTCACTTTTGTCAGCATTAACGGTCAAGAGGTGGGTAGTCACTTGTGTCAGTATTAACAGCCAAATAGGGGAAATAGAGGTAAAACATTGAAAATCCTTCTTCTACCATAGGTATTAAAGAATTTTATCCTAATTTTGTCTTGAGCATCCTTGGGTCAAGGGGACTCAATTTTGTATAAACGGTGAGGGGGGCGGGTCAGAGGGGCGGGTCCGAATAGGGGAAATAGAGGTTAAACCTTAAAAATCCTTCTTCAATTGTAGGGATTAAAGGATTTTATCCTAATTTAGTCTGGAGCATCCTTGGACCAAGGGGACTCAATGTTGTATAAATAGTGGGTGGCTGAGGGGTGGGGCCCAATAGGGGAAATAGAGAAAAACCTTTAAAATCCTTCTTCTACCATAGGGATTTAAGGATTTTATCTTAATTTAGTCTGGAGCATCCTTGTGCCAAAGGGACTCAATTTTGTATAAATTAATTTTGATTATGGCCCCCATGGGGGCAGAGGGGCGAGGCTGAATTGGGGAAACATAGCAAATTTTTCAAAATGCTTCTTCTTCTGTAGGAATGAAAGGATTTTGTCCAAATTTGGTATAAAGCACCCTTGGGTGAAGGGAATCAATTTTGTATTAACGGTGGGTCTGACCCCCCTAGGGGCAAAGAGGCAGGGGCCCAATAAGGGATATAGAGGAATAGCTTTAAAATCCTTCTGTTGGGATGAAGGTATTTTGACAGCATCCTAGAGTGTCGGGCCAAATAGGGAAAATACAAAAATAGATTTAAAATCTTCCTCCTTCTATAGGAATGACAGGATTATGTCCATATTTGGTGTAAAGCATCCTTGGGTGGTGGGGAGCTAATTTTGTACCAACAGTGGGTCTTATCCTCCTTGGGGCAGGGCCCAATAGGGGAATATAGCAAATTCTTTAAATCCTCCTTTTCCTGTAAGAATGACAGGATTTTGTCCAATTGCATATTAACATAACCCCTGACTAATCATGTAATACATGTACATTTCCAGGTGAGAGATACAGGCCCTTTGTGCCTCTTGTTTATAGCATGTCAGCTAACCACTCTTAGAATGATGCAGATCTTATTTCAATGTAAGAAAGTATATAACACTATATAACATTTGACAGGCGTATATTGTTCTGCCCGCGGTACTCTTGTTCAGATGTACTTTCCGTTTTATACTTCATCATTTCAAGCCATGTAAGTGATACACAGGAGATATACATTATATCATGGCCTTGTTTGTCTATGACGATAACAATTATAACTTCAGTTTACTGGGCTGACTTATTTATGATATTTTGCGGGAGCGATACATAATGGATATACTTTCAAATTTTAGGATTCACAATGACTGCTATGAACATTTAATGACTGTCCACAAAGTCAATAAGGGTTATTACTTACGTTCTATGGAACATTTCTTGATACTTTGAGGGAGTGATACATAGGAGATATTATAAGGCTGACCTTCAAAACTTCAATAGTTGAGTTGAGGTGAAATTTCCGCAGTTTTACTATAGAGAAATCATTGTTGTAGTTCTGCTAACTTAATTGTGATTTAAGTAAAGGGAAGTAGCCTTCATGTAACTTGTGCCATGTATACGTTTAGGCCAAATAACATTAATAACTTGGTTCTCTGGCCATTTTTTTTTTTAAAAAGATGCGGCAGGGAGTTTTTTTGTTTTTTTTTTTCATTTTACATAGCAAAAATGAGACAAGGGCGATTTTTATTTTATTGTGTAGTTTGTAAAACATTCATTGTGTACATTACCTTGTCTTTTTATAGTTGTGTAGAGACCCGTCATAGAGCAAGCCTCTGAAAATCCCCCCACGATGTTCCAGACGAGAATCATGAACCCCCCATTCTTATTTGTACCGAAATGAGTGCCATTTGAACAAAAGACTAATAATTCATGATCATTTTAACGCTTGCCTGTATCTCAATCCTTACCTTTATTCAAACGTTTTTGGGACTTGGGTGACTAATAAGTAAAAACGACATGCAGACCAATTTTCCAGATTTTTTTAAAGATGGCGGCTGGCGCATTCACGATTTTTTTTTATTACTTTCACGATAAAAAAATCGGCAATGCGCACAGTGATGAAATGCGCGCGGGCCTGAGAAACAAGTAATCAAATTTGTTTGGCCTTATAACTGTGTTGTATTGATGTTGTCAGGTCACCATTGACGACTACATCTCTGTGAAGCCAGAGATACACTCTATGGCCGTATACTTGTCAGGTCACCATAGACGACGACATCTCTGTGAAGCCAGAGAGTAACTCTATGGCCGTATACTTGTCAGGGCACCATTGACGACAACATCTCTGTGAAGCCAGAGAGTAACTCTATGGCCGTATACTTGTCAGGTCACCATTGATGACGACATCTCTGTGAAGCCAGAGAGTCACTCTATGGCCGTATACTTGTCAGGTCACCATTGACGACAACATCTCTGTGAAGCCAGAGAGTAACTCTATGGCCGTATACTTGTCATCCCCCCTACGTGACCGCTCTATACTTTTAACTGTGTTGTATTGGTGTTGTCACCATTGACGACCACATCTCTGTGAAGCCAGATAGTCACAGCCTAAGGGGTGGGGCCAAAAAAATGTATTACTTGGAAATGGTTGAGATCCCCACCATATAACCATATATACAATTGCTGAGTATAAAGAGAGGAATGCACATTGCTTCCAGGATGGCCCTAGCGTCTGGCCCCACCCTTGGAGACTTAACCCCTGGGTCATGACTTTGAATCGTTTAAGATCCCCACCCCAAAACTATATATACAATTGTTGGGCATAAAGAGACGAATGCAGTCATGATATTAGAATTGATCCTGGGGTCTTGCCACAACCCTAGGGACCTAGTTTCTGAGTCACAGCTTGGAAACAGTTGAGATCCCCACCCCATAACCATACATGAAATTGCTGCGCATAAAAAATCAAATACAGATATGCTACAAGGATTGGCCTTGGGGTTGGCATATTCCCTTGAATCTCATTTGGAGAATATTTTGCCATAATTGCTTAGATATCCAGGTGAGCGATACAGGCCCTCTGGGCCTCTTGTATTGGTGTTGTCACCCGTAGGTGACAGCTCTATTTCTAACTGTGTTGTATTGATGTTGTCAGGTCACCATTGACGACTACATCTCCGTGAAGCCAGAGAGTCATTCTATGGCTGTCTACTTGGCTCGGGTTGCGTACCTATGGGAGGATGCCCACGGCAACAAGATGTTCCACGCCCACTGGTTCTGGTCAGTATCTCCACAAACCCCAGGCTTATCATTAATACAGGAACCAATGCAGGAATATATTTAAAAACACAGATAAATAGGCACACTACGATCAAACTTGCTGGAAATTCTTGCTTATAACATCATTTTTATCCCTTCATGGTATATTTTGCATTTTAACATCAAATCTTCAACAAATTACTCCCTTCATGCAAGAATTCATTCCATTTCCTTTTGTTTTATGATAAACATGATTTACTGTAGATAACCGACTCCTTCATCTCATAGGGTAAGTTATAAATGTGTTTTATATTAGGAAACCATTCCAACGAGTTTATTGTGTAGAGATGTGTTTTACTGTGGAGGTTTGTTTGGTCCCTTGGTGAAGACTGTTTCACTACTGTAAACATATATCAGTCAAGTTGGACGAGATGTATCATGATACAGAGCTGGTAGGGTTTTCCAGTTTTCCAAGTGTTGGGCTTGAAATAGAAGTATCACAATTCCAGAAAATAAAATTTTTAAATAATCAGTAATTATTTAATGTCTGAATTTTATTGATTTTCTGTAGTAGTGAAGATTTTGTGACATTTGATGTGCTTCTAGTCGAGGTGCAGACACAGTGTTGGGGGAGACTTCCGATCCCCGGGAACTGTTCCTGATGGACGACTGTGAGGACTGTAGACTGGAAACTGCCATTGGGCTAGTCAAGGTAAGCTTCTACTTGTGTAGATTTTTCCTTTACGTCTCCAGTGCTTGGTATATTTTCCCCATATACATATAAACCCATTTTGAATGTATTTACTTGCAACCCGTGAAAAGGGTCAATTACTTGGTTAACCCTGAGTTGACAATTTATTAACTCACCTGGCACGAAGTGCCAAGTGAGCTTATGCCGTGGCGCGGCGTCCGTCCTCGTCCGTCAACTTTTCCTTTAAACAACTTCTTCTGAAGAACGGACAGGCCTAGAGTCATGATATTTGGCTGAAAGCTTCGTTGGTAGGAGCCCTACAAAGTTTGAGAACGAAAATGACCTTGACCTGTTTTCAAGGTCACAGGGGTCAAATATGTCAAAAACTTCAAACGACTTCTTCTGAAGAATTAAAAGGTATAGAATCTTCATATTTGGCTGATGGCTTCCTTGGATGGAGCCCAACAAAGTTTGAGAATGAAAATTACCTTGACCTTCTTTCAAGGTCACAGGGGTCAAATGTGTCAAACACTTCAAACGACTTCTTCTGAAGAACTGAAAGGTATATAATCTTTATATTTGGCTGGTGGCTTCCTGGGATAGAGCCCAACAAAGTTTGAGAATGAAAACTAGTTTGACCTACTTTCAAGGTCACAGGGGTCATATATGTCAAAAGCTTCAAATGACTTCTTCTGAAGAACTGAAAGGTATAGAATCTTTATTTTTGATTGATGGCTTCCTTGGATAGAGCCCGACAAAGTTTGAGAATGAAAATGACCTTGACCTTCTTTCAAGGTCACAGGAGTCAAATGTGTCAGACACTTCAAACGACTTCTTCTGAAGAACTGAAAGGTATATAATCTCTATATTTGGCTTGTAGCTTCCTAGGAAAGAGCCGAACAAAGTTTGAGAATGAAAATGACCTTGACCTTCTTTTAAGGTCACATGAGGCAGATATGTCAAACACTTTAAACGACTTCTTCTGAAGAACTGGTAGTTATAAAATCTTAATATTTGGCAGGTGGCTTCCTGGGAAAGAGCCAAACAAAGTTTGCGAATGAAAATGACCTTGACCTACTTTCAAGGTCACAGCGTTCAAATATGTCAAACAGTTCAAACAGCTTCTTCTTAAGAATTAAAAGGCATAAAATTATAATATTTGGCTGGTGACTTCCTGGGATAGAGCTCACCAAAGTTTGCGAATGAAAATGACCTCAACCTACTTTAGAGGTCACAGAGGTCAACAACATTTTAATGGATTTGTTCTTGAGAACTAAAAGGAATGGATTCATAAGATTTGGCTGGTAGCTTTTTGGAATAGAGCTAACCAATTTGAGAAGGAAAATGACATTGACCTACTTACAAGATCACAGGAAAAAATATGTCAAGCAACTTCTGAAGAAGAATCAAAAAGCATGAAACTTATAATAATATTTTGCTGGTAGTTTCAACAGATGGAGCCAACAAAGTTTGCGAGGGAAATATTTATAGTGCAATATAATGTTTAATGAGAATATTTTGCTATGACTGCTTAAATATTCAGGTGAGCGATACAGGCCCTCTTGGGCCTCTTGTTAATAATGTGATCAGTCTCTTTACAAGCAGTTTCATATGTGTTGTAGGTTATTCATAAAGAAACTCCTGCCAACTGGGCAATGCTGGGAGGAATAGAACATGCTGATGAAGATATTGTCGGGGAGGATGAAAATACTTATTTCTATCAGAAATGGTGAGAATCTCGCTGTGTAGATATCACAAATGATCACCAAAGTGTTTTAGATGTGAGAGAGTTTAGAGGTAAAAAGTGAGAGATTGTTTTAAAAAGATTAAGGTTTATTTTTTTTAAAGTGAGAGATTAATTATGAAAAAGGTGAGAGATTTGGCGGTAAAATGGTCCGAGTTTTGTTGTATAAAGGTAAGAGTTTAGTGGTAAAAGGTGGTTTGTACATACAGGTATGACTTGGACCTGGCCCGATTTGAGGACCCACCTGTATGTGACTTCCAACCTGCAGATCATCTAAAGCACAAGTTCTGCACAAGCTGCCACAGACTGGATCAGCTGAGAAAGGTACGGCTCTGTCTAACTAGCATGGTGTGTGTAAGGTCCACCAGCACTGTTATAACTGAGAAAGGTACGGCTCTGTCTAACTAGCATGGTGTGTGTTAGGTCCACCAGCACTGTTATAACTGAGAAAGGTACGGCTCTGTCTAACTAGCATGGTGTGTGTTAGGTCCACCAGCACTGTTATAACTGAGAAAGGTAC